AGGAGGAGGAGGAGGGGGAGGTTGAGGAGAGAAGGGGGTGAGTAAAAAATGCTCCAACTGATTTCAATAAAAAGTATTATGAAGGAAGATACATGGAAAATGAGTCCAAAAACACAGATTAAAGGAAGGCGTGGGAAAAAAGAAGGGGGAGGCGTGGAGATTATATAAAAACGATCCTGTCTGTTCCTAGCTGGACCTCCAAAATGTACTCACTCTAGCTTCCCCAGTCCACAAATAGAACCGTGGGAGTCCGTCGGGTACACCAGCCGATACGGGTCACCGCGAGCATAGCCTGGTAGATAAAAGAAAATATTTTTGGTTTCTCTGAAGACAACTATATCAATCTGTCGTGACATGTCGTGTCACAACGAGGTGAAATCAGGTATTCGTCGATTTTTTGGGCATGTTGAGTTATCGGTATTATTGAAACTTATTCATTTCCATTACTTTAAAAGAATTAAATATCCATGTGTATTAAATAGATGTCGGGATATTTGCCATTGAAAAAGGTGGGGGTATCCTGGTTTCAGCGGTAAAATTAGATAGAAAATGGCCGCCAAAGTTGGGTAGCCTCAATGGCTTGATAGTCCTTGAAAACTGAAAATTTACTTATTTTGTGCCTTTAATCAATGTGATTCAATAAAATTCACATAGGAATGAGTTTTTATATAGACATAAAAGGTGTTGAGCCAAAAAATAACTTGATTTTAAAATTTCCAAACTAGTGGGATGCTGCTTCTTTGATTTTATTATTTTGATGTGGGCCAGATTTCACCACAACGCCTCACCTATATGTAGCAGGCTATCAATCCATTAATTTTCTTGCATTCATATTTTTCTTCCACAAATCAATCTATTAATTGTTCTGTATCTACCTGCATGCATCATCCACACATTCATCTATATGCGTGGCATCATTGTGACACCAGGCACTTGCCAAAATAATTAAATCGAAGAAACCAGCATTTTTCATTTATGTTGAGCATTTATTTTTTTGGGCTCAATACCTGTTACGTCATTTTAAAAACACATTTGTGAGGCAGCGTGGTGAAATCACATGCTCGTCAAAAGAATGAATCAAAGGAACCAGCACAAAAATGTAAATTTACAGGTTCCAACGACATTCAAGCTTTGGCAGCCATTTTCTCGCTAATTCTACTTCTAAAAGCAACCGGCCCCCCACCTCCTTTAATCGCAAATAGCCCGACTTCTATTTAAGATAGATAAGTATTTTTTTCATTAAAAGCAAGACTAATAAACAAAATATAAGATGATACCAAAAATTCCATATGCCCAAAGATTGGCGGCCATTTTTTTGTTAATTTTTTCTCTCAGAAACCTTGTGACCTCCAACTCCTTCAATCACAAAAAAAAAATCCTGTTCAAGACAGATGGATATTTTTTTCATCAAGAGCAAGACAAATTTAAAAAATTCAAGATGAGATCAATAACTTGATATGCCCAAAAACTGTCCATCCATCCATACAACCACACATCTATCCATTCAATCAATATATCTGTCCATCCATCTATCCATCCCATAAAGCAATTTCCGAATACAAACTTCACTATCCATTCATCGATCAATACATCCTCGTATATATACATCAATCCATCCATCCATCTTTGGGTCCATCAATCCATCCATCCATAGGTCCATTTATCCATCCATCCATCTTTGGGTCCATCAATCCATCCATCCATAGATCCATTCATCCATCCATCCATCTTCTCTAAGATCTGTTCGTCCCATTAAGCAGCTTTAATACAAGCATCTTTCTTACCGATGACGGAGACAACCCCCATGCCAAGGAGAAAAACGACGAAGATGAAACAGCAGATGATGTCCGTGCATGACCTGTGGAGACACAGAGGAAAACACGATAACTTCGGAAACCAATGA